TTTTTTTTTTTTTTTTTTTTTTTTTTGGTTTTTTTTTTCTATTGTATTACGATTTGTACATCCTTGCGAATTTCTGTCTCTGTAATTAGTACTTAGAAGGTATTAGATCGTTTCTAATAGAATAATAATGGTCGATGAGAAATAAATAGTGCAGGTCAGCGTATAGAAATTCTACGCATATATATCTGCGAATTTTACGCTCCAAATTGCACCCCCCAAAAAGAAACAAGTAAAAAGTAATAAAAGTCTTATCCGTAAAAAAATAAAAAAAAATTCCACGCTCTTTGAAATTCGAACTTTGATCATTCGAGTCAAAGAATACAGGAAATGTTTAAAAACTTGAAGCGTTGAGATATGTCTTAATAATTTAATAAACTCTGTAAAATTCATGAGAAACTGTCGCTCTAAAGTCGTACTTTGAAACTTACTCTTCGCTTCGTTCATAGTTAACACTTTGCGCTCGACTTTACATCGTATTTAAATCTAGCAAACAGCTCTGTTTATAATTTACAGTTAATATAGTTTATAATTTACAATTATAACGAACGTATACATTTGGTGTTGTACGATGTATAGTAGCATAATGTCTGAACGGACGCCTAGAATTGAAAGCTATAACAACAGAACGTAAGAACAGAAAAGAATTTCAGAAATTTCTGAAGGCAGTCCTAAATGAGTCAATTGACACTCGATAATTCGCATAAACTAGACTTGTTTATTGCTACGAAGTTTAAAAAATGGTGCAGAATATTGTATATATTATGTTCTGGCAAACCCATTAATAATCACGTAATCATGTAAGAAAGATGTTGACAATCCACAAAATTTCGTCGGAATTATTTCCATATGCTGTGTCACTTTTTTATTCGAAAAGCGATGCTTCGTAAATAAATTGCCGATAATTTGATACGAAGGAAAAGTTTGTCGAGGGCAAAGAGTTAAAGAAAATTTGGCCCAAAAAGTGTTCGTAAGATTAAGAAATAATCCAGAGCGGAGAGGACACGGATCGGTGAACCGGATCGTTTGTGATTTCAGCAATTAGCCGCGCTGCTGATAGCGCGCCAGGTGATCGGCAATTTGAAGGAGTCCGCCGTGCCGTATCTGGTAGAGCAACTGCGGCTGGCTCGGCTGAGTTTCGAGCTTTTTGGCGCGTTGAGCCCCAGCGAGGCTAGGCCGCCACCCGGCGAGGATGACGACGAGTCGCGGAAGGATTCCGAGGACAAGAGCGAACGCTCGGACGCCGGGAAGTCGAAACAGCCGAGAAACGTCAGCCAGGCCGAACTTGAGAGTTCTCTCTACAGAGTAGGACATCCCACTAATTCTCTACTTAGTGACGTTACGTTCAAGGTTTGAACTAGATTTAGCTAATTTCTTTCGTTTCCGACGCACTCACGCAGTCGCGCAGCGAACCTCATCCGGCTTGGCGGGCTTTTCAGAGAGGCGAGAGAGAGAGAGAGAGAGAAAAAAAAATCTAACAGATTAAAATCACTACGTGTACTTCATAATTCTCTTTTTTTCTTCCTTTTTTTAGTTTACAGTCCGACTGTGTAACTCGCCAGGATGGACAGGTTCTTTCATCGATCGCATCATAATTTTTTTATCTCTTATCTTTGACACTCCCTGGCTTGCGTGTATGTACGTACATACGACAGTCTTTGTTCATTCAATTAATTTTATTTATTTCGGTCGATTTGGAACAATTTGATAACAATCCCCGATGATAGAAGAGGATAAACGGAAGAGGTGGAGCTAATGAATGTTGCGTTCTATGTGTCTGTTGTCTGATCGGTTCTTTTTGCAGAGTTTTAATGATTTTTTCCCCCCGTTTCCTACCGATTCTGTCGACGACGCGCAGGTATCTACCAAAAAGGTAATATCACCTGATCATCCTATCGTTTTCAAGTATTCAATCCTTTTGATTGCTGGTCAAGCTCACTTTCGTTCGACGATAATGTAAAATGAGAAAGGAAGAAATGTTGTCTGAAATAAAGTATACAATGTCTTCCTCTGTAATTTTTTCAAATGAATCAAACAGTTTAAAAAAGAGTATTTTTCTTCGTCTGTGATACATTTTCTTTTTATGACTAAAAAGCTTACTCGCAGCTCTGAAGCTCGCTGTAAAATGGACTGAAGTAATCAAAAGGGTGAATCAAATGACTCACAGCTAACATCGTCACGCTAACACCGTGTTAAGCGCTGGCTTCTTATGTTTGGTTTGAAAGGCATAGTGACCCTTGCACTACCTGTGCTAGATACACTGTTCATTTAGATATTTCTCTTATATTACACGAATGAAGATCCTGCCACAGGTTTCTTATTCAAAGCTTTTATACTCAAACTTCCTTAAGCTCAAAAGTCTTAGAACTTCATTTCATTCTTAACATCCAGTTATCGCTGATTATCATGTATACATATTTTATAATATAATACAACATATGATAACATAACATGTTAATATATTAAATATAAAATATTTATATTTATTGTACTTAATTATATTGTATTGCATTTATTGTAAATTTACAACAATTTATATTGTATACTGCATTGTTGTAAGAGTGTGTAATTTATACTTTTATATTGTAAATATTGTATTTACAATTACATGTACAATTATATTTATTGTATACAATTTATAATTTACATTTTACATTGTTTTAATATAATACTTGTCCTAAGGCTTCTGAGCAAGGTGTACATTATACATATGTACATGATATTGATAGTACAATATAATTATATTTTCCATTATATTATATGAAGATGACAAACCTGTAACGAATCGTAAAAATGACTTGACCAATTATTACACAATAACACTCTAGTTTAATAGTAGTACACACACATAATTGTAATAATATTAATAATAATAATGATAAATATGCCTTTGGAAGATGTTTATAAACGACTTACGCACAGACGTTTCCATTTGCAGTACGACGGAGCGTTTTCAGAGCATCTGGAAATGCTGTCGCAACTGGGATACGTTTGTCTATTCTCTTCGGCTTTCCCGTTGGCCGCTATGGCAGCGTTACTTGGAAATCTTCTTGAGCTACGTGGCGACGCCTTCAAACTCTGCTTTGTCCTCCAAAGACCATTTGGTCGAAGAGTCTCTAACATTGGAACTTGGCAAGTGAGTAGCCAAATGTACTTAAAGTCTATTCATTGTAATTAACAAAAAGTACAATTCGCTATAAAGTTGCTGTAAATAAAGTACATTCTAACTCTCTATTAAACTTCTAATACAATATATAGGAGAGTGTTCCCGAAATCGTATTACAACTGGCCAGGGTGTGACTCTACATTGTATATAATGTAATATTCTATTAATTATATATAAGTTTTTAAGAAAAAAAGAAGAACGAAATTTTTCCATATGACGCTTCGTTTTCAAGCTCGCAACTTGTAACGGAACATGTTCAGTCTATTTTCTTAAAGATGAAGCTGAAAATGAGAAACTTTTATTCCACATTTGTTTTTCTACTATTTCATTTTATTTTTGAATATAGCATACTCTTTTATTAATTGTGTTTTCTTGTTACGTCTGGAATGAATTAAATTCAAGTGTGTCCAGTCTGGAGTTGGCAGATTTTCAAACTCAAGTTTGTCAAAAAAAATTTATTCCTTTTTCCCATGTAGAAGCATCTCTTGGCCTTGGTGTATTCGAGAACATCCCGTACAAGAATGAAACGCCAAATTAGAATCGTTTGCACGTAGATCTTCCATAGCTGTTAAATTTTAAAAAACGTTGAGAACGTTGTCTACTTGCTAGAACGCGATGGAGGCAATGGGACTGGTGGCAATTCTGGTCAATTGCGCTCTGATCGGATTGAGCGGGCAGGTACAACGAATGTTCCCGGAAATGTCGGCGACACAAACGATCCTGTTGATAGTCGCTCTGGAGCACATCATGCTGGCGATACGGTTCATTATAATCTGCGCGATCCCGGACATCCCGCACTGGGTGGCCACGGAAATGGCGAAGGTAGAATTCCTGAGGCGAGAGGCAGTCAGGAGATTGTCGTCCACTCCGTCGCCGGAACAGCATCCAGCCACAGTCATAGGTAAGTAAACAGAGCAACGTTCCGTTCTCAAAAAATGTAATATTCTCCTCCTCACTCCGCTTCTTCTCCAACTATGGACAATTCTCCTGCTTATGGGACCCGATCGGTATTTGACACAACGTTGACCCATGATCGTTTGCAATGCTTCTTCTTCTTTTGTTTTTTTTTCTTAAATTTTGAGGAGTTCCGAGGAATTTCGAGAACTTTGTGGAACTTGAGATGGGAGAGAGAGAGAGAGAGAAATCCGAGAAAGTTTTAGGAACTAAGGAGGAGCTCTAGGATCATGGAAGGAATTCGACGAATTCCGGGAATCCTCGAGGAATTTAAGCACAGCTGGAACAGAATTTGAGGAACTCGAGACTCGGCAATAAAAAACAAAAAAAGGAATCTGAAACATTCCTGAAAGCTCGAGGAATTCCCAGGAACTCCAGGATTAACATTCGTGTACACATATAATAGTTTGGATTCTAATTAATCGCCAACTGATCGGGTTAGACACGACGACCACAATCTCTCGTCCTCCCTCCTACCATCTATTAATTTCGCTCGAACTCAGGGAGATTCGTGGTGAGTCCAGCAGACGGTGAGAGCGAAGAACAACAACTGCTTTCCGATCGCACCGGAGACGCGACGTCCTCCAGTCTTCCGGACACACCGACCCTAGCGTCGTCCACCCAGACACCCAGTAGTCCCCCAACACCTAGCGCAACATCCGTACCAAGGATCTCCGAAACACCTCCCGCGGTTCAGACTCCCGGTAGCGCGGGCAGCAGTGACTTAGCCACCCAATTCCTCACCGAAAACAGTATCGGCAGCGTTCGTGATATTCACAATACACCTAGATGCTCTATTCCTGGTGGAGAACGAGGTTCGACTGTTTCTTCTTCTTCTTCTTCTTCTTCTTTTTTTTCTTTTTTCTTTATCCTGTAAGGCAACGCTTGGTAGAGGAATGTGTACATATACAGTGTACAGAGCATAGTTGAGCATAGGCTTATATCTTTTTTCATATTTTAGTAATGAATCTTTTTGAGTTATGTAATATATATAATATTTTTATGATATTTTTAGTTAGTAGTAATATATATAATATTTTTATATATTATATATATATAATATTTTTAGTTAGTAGTAATATATATAATTTTTATATATTATATATATATATAATATTTTTAGTTAGTAGTTTTTGAGTTATAATGAATCTTTTTTTAATATTTAATGATATAATATTTATAGTTAGTAGTTTTCGAGTTATATAATATTTTTGAGTTATAACGAGTCTTTTTTTTAATATTTAATAATATAATATTTTATAACATTTTTCGTTAGTAGTTTTTGAGTTATATAATATTTTTGAGTTATAACGAGTCTCTTTTTTAATATTTAATAATATAATATTTTTAGTTAATAATTTTTGAGTTATATCATATTTTTGAGTTATGAGGAATCTCTTTTTTAATATTTAATGATATAATATTTATAGTTAGTAGTTTTTGAGTTATATAATATTTTTGAGTTATAAGGAATCTCTTTTTTAATATTTAATAATATAATATTTTTAGTTAATAGTTTTTGAGTTATATAATATTTTTGAATTATATAACGAATCTCTTTTTTAATATTTAATAATATAATATTTTTAGTTAATAATTTTTGAGTTATATCATATTTTTGAGTTATAAGGAATCTCTTTTTTAATATTTAATAATATTTTTAATTAGTAATTTTTGAGTTATATAATATTTTTGAGTTAAAATAAATCTTTTCTTTAATATTTAATAATATAATATTTTTAGTTAGTAATTTTTGAGTTATAAATATTTCCGAGTTATAATGAATTTTTTCTTTAATATTTGATAATACTTTTAGTTGGTAGTTTCTGAGTTGTATAATATTTTTGAGTTATAACGAATCTTTTTTTTTTTTTTTTAATATTTAATAACATAACATTTAATAATATTTTTAGTTAGTAGTTTCTGAGTTACATAATATTTTTGAGTTATAACGAATCTCATTTTATTTCAAATAGAAAAGTCGCCTTGTGTCGTGAAAGAAAATATGAAAATTGTCTTTTTGTTAACGAGCAGGAAGACGTTCGAGGGAATGGCTTCAGACCGAGACAGAGGCATCGGGCGGCGCTGACCACTACAGTCATCACTTGACGATCGGACCTCACGGGGGAGTAGATTGGGTGCGAAGATTAGGTCTCGAAGCTGGCGGCCGAAAGTCCAGCGATTCTGAAATCAGCGGCGCCGGTGCCGTGAGTGGAAGCGGGGACGAGTTGACGCTTCACAGATCCACCGATTGCATCGTCTCGAAGGATCTTGCCTCGTCGTCGGACAGCGATCTTCTCAGGTACGTTGTTGTTTCTTCTTTGCTAGTCTGCCGAGAGTGTTCGGAGAGGAGTTTCGTTGCGCCGAGATTCCAGCATCTCTTCTCCGTTCGAACGATTGAATCGTTGTTAATTAAATTTGAAGGTCCGCCCCGCCGTGGACAGTGGCCCACAGAAACCAAAAGTTCCGATTCTCGCCGGAGAGGGAGAGGGAACGGGAGAAAACGGAGAAGCAACAGTATCAACAGCATCAGCGAGACGTGCAGGACCACAAGCAACAGTCGTCCTATTACGCCGAGAAGGAGAAGGACTCGAGCGGTCTGTCAGACTCGAGCAAGACGATCTCCAGCCAAGAGGAGGAGAAACCGTCGAAGGAAGACAGGGAGGCGAAGAAGACCCGAGTGAAACAGAGCCTGATGAAGAGAGCCCGGTCAGTGGCGATCTTCTCGTTGAAGCTGAAGGAACGGAGGGCGAGGGAAGCTGAATTGAAGGCGAAAGTCGCGGAGAAAGAGGCCAGGTGGCAACAGCCGCAGTCGTGTGTCGGTGGCGAGCTCTCTTGCATACCCATAGAAAAGCTTATATCCGTGGACGATATCGCAGCCATGGAATTACGCAGACTTAATCATTAGCCCGCTTAACGTTTTTCCACTTTCGTTTCACACGCTACGTAGGAACGAAGTTCGTCTGCGCCAGTGATACTCGCTGCGAAACGAATGTCACGTGTAAATCTCGCGAGAATCTCTGACGCCATATCAACCAATATATGTATATCTAAAGGAAAAGAGGTTCCGCGATGTTGCAATCGGCTTACGACTTACTTTCTTCTGTAAATATCGGGGCGAGATCGGTAACGCGCATCAAAGAAACGGGAAGCGAAACAGGAGGGAAACAGAAAGATGGAAGGGACGCGAGGATGAACACTTTTTGCGTTCGTTACTTTTCAAACTTGCATTTTTTTCTTTTCTTTTTAAATTTCTTTCTCTCCTCTGTTTACTGCCCGAACACGGAACTAACATTAAAAAATTGGGACTTTTTAATATCGTTGTTGAACGAAAACTTGCTCAATTTGAACGTTTTAGTGCTACTTCTTGTCTTGACGAGGGTTACGCTTTGCAAAGTTAATAACGTACATAGCTAAAGAAGTACATAGTATTCTTTCAACACAGAAGGCTTTCGGTTTTCCCTGAGAATTTCGATCCGACAGCAAGATTTCGAGTGAGTATCATTCGCGCAAGTGAAGCATGCGCATCGAAAGGCTCATGAGAATTTCTAAAGAAAAAAACACAGAAAAAAAAAAGAAAAAGTATTAGAGAAGAGGTACGACCGTTAAGTTTCATCTGGTGTCGCGATTCAATGAATAATAAAAGTGAACGAATATGAACAAAGAAACGGCGCACAAAGTACATTGAAGATTTTAGACAGAGTTCCATAGAGATTCTAGAGTATCGTCCTTTCAAGGATCACAATTTTAGTAGATTATAGTCGGCATAACTCGGGATAACGATACCTCAGAAACGGTTCGTGCCACACTGTGCAATAATTGTTTTCGACTTTCGTGAACCTGAAACGAACGAATTTCCAGATGTTGCTCTTTCAATTCTGTCTCTGGCTTAATGGGTAAAACGAGAAAATCGGGGAAAGTGAATCTCGAGGGAGGAAATGTATGGGAATATATGGAGTTTCAGATATCATTGAACAATTCTTTGTATTTCCTTGGGGAATTTGCTGCCTTGAAGGCGGCATGTTTCGTTTCAACCTCTTGCGCTGGAATGACATGCCACTCACGTCGAGAATTTGCACTTTTTTCAATATTTTTCAATATTTTCTCAGTTTTAAGTATACTTAAATGTATAACCATGATAAGTTCGTTATTTCTTAACAAATGATATCATACCGACGAGTTCAAAAATAAAGCGACGAATTATTGTATACGGTTCGGCCACTCGTTATGGTCCGCGAGCCTAGTTAGCCAGCGCAAGAGTTTTAAACTGTCGGTTTCAAAAAAGGAACGTATCACAGTAACTCGTGAGAGTTCGAGCCGCGTAGGACGAACGGTTGTTACGACATTTGTAAATTATTCGAACAGCTGCTGCCAAGTAGCAGGAGAGCCGAATTCGTATATCTCGAGTCGAGGGAGAAAAAAAAAAAATGGATGACAAGATCATCCTCCATTGTTGTTGCTGAAGTATAAGTTGTTACTTAATGTTACCTAGATGTTTATAGGTTAACGAACTTTCGCTAAATAGCTCTCTACGAGGTACTCCACCTATACGATACAACGTATGTACAAATGCACACACCGAGTTCACACGCGCCTACGATTAATCACTTGCCTTACAATCTGTTTTGTATATGCCTTTATTCCTATCGCATACGTACAATCTCGATCTAGCCGATCTTCAGTTTCCGAAGCGCGAACGCAGTTTGTTTTTTTTAACTTCAAATACGTATGTTTGTGCTCTTATTTATCGTACGGTGTTCCGCAAGTTACGATAAACGTGACGTTTACGCTGTGAGGCAAGCGGTTAAACGAGAGACAATTTAAAACGCAGTTTTCGTTCAACGAAGCATATTTGGTGAAGATTTATTTATGCTTCGCCGCTCGGTCGAGATCGATGACGAGACGAAACGGACGCCTTAGTCGAAGAAAGAAGAAGAGACGAAGAAATTAACCCGGTTGACGAGCGAAAAAAAATTGTAAGGACCGGTTTTTTGTATATAGCAAATTATTTGCAACGCGTGAGAAAATTTGATTCCATGGCCTAGCTGACGTCCCGCGTCTGTTGCTGAAGTAGCGCAGTCGTTCACATGAGAGCAACAGCACATTTAACGACCTTCCGTTTCGACTTTTTAACGACCACTATGAGTGAATAGGTAGCGTTACGATTAGACATACATACGCGTCGACATGCAAGCACTGTTGAAGCAAAAAAAAAAAAAAAAAGGAAAAAAAAAGAAAATAAACCAGTATCGCAATTGTACTTTAGCGTGCCCTCTTTGGGAACTGCAGGACTAGAAAAAAAAAACCGCGAAACCGATAGATTAGCCGCTTTCGTGAGGCGAAGTTTTAAAACAAATGTCAGCGGAAAGCATCTGTGTTTCTTAGATGTTTTGTATAAAACAGAAACTGAGCCAATAAAAACATTCTACGAAAGAAAAACGAGCATTTCATTTGTGTTTTATTCCCTAATTCCCGAACGAGACTCGTCAAGGAGATTCATATATCATAGTTATCCAGCTAACATAGCAATACATGAAAGTAGTAATATTAATCCATTATTCATCATCCATGTTACGGATAGTCCAGCAATTTTTTGAGAAATTTAATAGCATAAAAATCCAAAAAATATATTACATAATATACACATCGAAAGCAATGTACTTATAATATTACAATAAAATGAAACAAATTCTTAATGCCTTATGTTCTCACTACAATACCAACGTCCGTAACTTATTCTCAAATGTATAGTTTCTTAAGACCTGATACGAACAAAGTCGAAATTTGAATTATTTTCAAGAATAATCGATTCACTTCCTAAAAATAAAACGCAACCTTGACTGGTCTCTCTTTCCAAATACAAATTTGATCGATTCATGAACAATGGCAATGTCTACTCCTTTCAATTAATAATCGACACAATATCTCGTGCACGAGAAGGAATTTCTGGCTGAAAAATCGAACGAAGTATCAGCAAAACATGAGACTCGAGAAAGTGGCACGGCGAAGCCGGCAGATGAGCAGTTCTCCTGATACCGACGCAATTCAAAAATAATTGAGCAGCAATACCTAGCGAACGAGAAGCAATTTCTAACTGACAATTGGAAAGAAGTATCAGGAGAACATGAGACTCGAGGAGGTGGCACGGCGAAGCCGGCTGATGAGCGGTTCTCCTGATACCGAGGTAATTCGAAAATAATTGAGTTGGAATATCTAGCGAACGAGAAGCAATTTCTGACTGAAAATTCGAAAGAAGTATCAGGAGAACATGAGACTCGAGGAGGTGGCACGGCGAAGCCGGCCGATGAGCGGTTCTCCTGATACCGAGGTAATTCCAAAATAATTGAGCTGCAATGTCTAACGAACGGGAAGCAATTTCTGACTGAAAATTCGAAAGAAGTATCAGGAAAACATGAGACTCGAGGAGGTGGCACGGCGAAGTCGGCCGATGAGCGATTCCCCTGATACCGAGGTAATTCCAAAACAATTGAGCTGCAATGTCTAGCGAATGGGAAGCAATTTCTGACTGACAATTCGAAAGAAGTATCAGGAAAACATGAGACTCGAGGAGGTGGCACGGCGAAGCC